AAACTATCAGTTTGATTAAGAAGTTTTTACTTCTATAGTTTTTACTTCAGCTAACTTTATAGTTTTACAGTTATAAAGCATAAACTATCAGTGTGAGAAAGAAGTTTTTACTTTATAGTTTTTACTTCAGCTAACTTTATAGTTTATACAGTTATAAAGTAATATATCAGTTTGATTATGAAGTTATAAAGTATAAACTATACAGTTATAAAGCATAAACTATCAGTTATAAATTGAAATTGAAAGCCTTTCTGATTAAGAAGTATCAGTTTGATTTTAAATACTATTAGTTCACAGTCCTTTACTATCAGTTTGATTTTTAAATTGAGAATTTGAGATGATTAAAGTCCAAAGTCCTTTAAACTTTAAATTCATATTTTAAATACTTGCAGAGTTGCAGTTTTTACTTCGACTTGAGATGATCAACTTGGAAGTACTTTAAACTATTTTAACTTCACCTGTTTTGGTTAGAATGTTGTTATTCAACTTTTTTATCATGTTTTCATGGTTGGGTTGATGAATTATAGTGTTTATCATTCGTTTTGAAGTTTTTTTTGTCACGTGGCGACGCCATATTTGCGCCATCGCCAACGCCATGGGAAATGGCTTGTGCGCCATGGATGTCGCCATGCGCCATGACAACTATGATTTATATGCATCATTACGTTTTTGTCTCTTTAATTAAAATAACTTTCCTTTAAAAAAATAGTATGATCATTAATTATTTCCTTACTAACAAATTCTCTTTAATTTATCAAGACAAAGCTGAATACGAATGGAGAGAAAAGATATTTTTAAGTGAGCCAATTTAATCAATCTTGGATTCGCATGGCAGCTCAAGGAGACTAGGACCATGTCTACGGCTTGTTCTAGAGCAAGAATTAAAGTCTTTTCCTGCAATCACTTATAACCCAAAAGTAACAATAGTTGTTTGCCATAGATGAAACAATACGTTCGAACAAAAGACATCCTAAATGACAGGAAATTATAATACCAAGACTCCCTATGATAGTCACAATTTACTTCATAGAAACAGGAAAGTACCAAACAAGTAACAATCTCTAATAGAATCATTACCTAATCTACACAAAATTTACCTCTTAATTCAGTTTTAAGGGGAAAGTATCAGTCTTTAATCAATCAGAATCTCTAATGGCAAAACTACCTAATTTGATTCACAATCAGGCACTCTGCCCAGGCTCTCTCAAATCACGATCAATCAGCATTTCATCATAAAGATTTAAGTGTAAGCAAAGACCTAACGATGAAGCATTCACATAGAATATCCCAAGCCGTGAAGCGAGATAAGCATCGGAGTTCATACCTGACAAGTGATGCGCACACACTGATACACTTTCCGGCAGCTTCCGGCTTGCACCTTCTCAAAATTTGAAGACTACGCAGTGAAGCCAGAGCGGTTCGCAATTTGCAAATCTCAGAGCTGGTTTTGCGGGCATTTCATTGATGTGAAATTTTCAGTCTATTTTAAGTCTAGTGTAGCTTTTGGGGTGTTTGTCAAATGGCCGTCGGTTATCGGCTGTTTGGCTGTTTTGAGTTAGATAGGTGGCACCCATCACATTATTTAACACATCAATCACATTTATAACATTTTTACATCAATAGTAATTAGAATAGTCACATCAGTTGTTTGTAAGTTTTTGTAAGTGTGTTTGTATTTCAAGCATTTTTCTTGTGTTAGCTGATTGATATCATCATATCAGCAGATTCTATGGACTGTTTTGATTGGCTGATAGTATTAGCAGTTTGTAAAATTGTGTTTGATTAAATGGCTCTTTGTAATCAGCTGATAACTTGTTAAATGACATTTAAGGACATCAATTAATTTTTTTATTAATGTTATTAGTACAACTATTTAAAACATTTTTAATCTATGTTTTAAAAAAAAGTGAACCCAAGTAAAGATTATTTCAAAAACGTTTATCATGTATTAATATACTCCCTCCGTCCCTATATAAAAGTATCCATTCATTTTACACACATCTTAAGAAAGTGGGTTTGGTTGGTACTGTTTGGCACTGTTTGGACACTGTTTGGCACTGTTTGACACTGTTTTGCACTATTTTGCACTGTTTTGTTTGCCAAAAAAGGAAAGGGAACTTTTATTTAGGGACGGCCCGAAAAGGAAACAGATGCTTTTATTTAGGGACGAAGGGAGTATTGAATTAGTATGATGCTATTTTGATTAATAAGTGGAGTTAGAAGTACAAATATATTCAGAAAAATTGGATAAAACAAAAAATATATCATTCATGCCTACAAAAATACGGAGTACAAGCATTCTTAAGCTATGTTTGGCAGTTGGCACAATGAGCTATAATTAGAGGTTAAAGTCTAATACAAGAAGAGCAAAAAAATTAACCCCGACAACTTATCAAAAGCAGTGAGTTAAGTAATTATTGATGTCGAGTAAGTGAAGAAGGTTTGTTCTAGGGGTGGTCATTTCGGTTTTCGGTTCGGTTTTCTGCGGTTTCGGTTCAATTCCGATTTAATCGGTTTGATAGAAAATGTACCAAATACAAACCGATTAAGTTTCGGTTTGGTTTCGGTTTGGTATGGTTCGGTTCGGTTTGGAGTTCGGTTTACCAAAGTATTAAGGTTTGGAATGAAAAAAAAAATCAACTCAAAATAATGAACCAAGAAGCGATAGTAATGAACCAAATATAATGTTAGATATAAATCTGCAAACAGTAACAAAACACATATGAACTAAAAATATATAAGCATGACACATTTGTAAGCAACAACAACAACGTGAATGAATCAAATTATATATAAAGCCGAAACAAAAACAAAACTGATGTTTGTAAGTAATGAACCAAATATATAGTAGTAGTAGATAATAAATTATATTTAAATACTATCTACTTAAACCACTATAATTGTTATAGTTGTGAATGTAACTCTTGTAGTAAACTCTAGTCCTGGACACTAAAATTAAAGAATTAAAGCTTCAAAAAGATTAACATCAATCAAATTAATGAGAGAAATCTTATATTTTGGTTTGGTTTAGTTTGGTGTAAGTTGGTTTTGATTTGTTATTTTAAAAAAATAAGAAATTATTTCATTTTTAGATTAGTTCGGTTTTATTCGGTTTTATGATTTCGGTTCGGTTTAATATGGTTTGGGAGGAATACTACCAAACTCAAACCAAACTACAAATGGATCGGTTTCGATTCGGTTTAATTCGGTTTGGTACGGTTCCGAACCGAACCGTTATGCCCACCCCTAGTTTGTTCCATCGCTGCTTTTTTCCTTTTGCACCGAAGATGTTGAAGTGACGAGGAGGAAGGGCAGAAGGCATGGTGGGTAGAATCGGGAATATTGGGTAAATACTCGATTGGCCAACACTAAACGCCGGGGTTATCAGCGTTTTTGAATTTGGCTGTTATGAATGAAAAGCCAAATGAAAAGGCTAATTAACCAAACACTCATATTAGCTAATTGACATGGTCAAAAAGCCAAATGTTAGTCAATTCAGCCAAAAAATGGCTGATAGGCCGGTAACCAAACACCCCCTTTGGCTTTTACATGTCTAGCGCAGTGTCTATTGATTTACGGAGTATTATTAAGTCTAGTCTCTCTCTATTTTATTTTTAAAATGCTGGTACACATTTTTGTGTACACTTTTTGTATATCCGTCTGTCTCACGCAAATAACTTTGTAGAGTTATCTATGGATATATAATTCTATCTGCGTGAGACAGACGAATTTACAAAAAATGTACACAAAAATGTGTACACATAGCATAACACATTTTATTTAGGTGTGGGCAAAAATACTGAACCGACATGGTATCGAATTAGACCGGTATGGTACCGGATTGATAAACGAGATTTGAAACGGATCTCAAATATTTTTATCCCGAACCGGATCGTAATGGTTCCATACAATGTCATGACGGGTTCTCATAAAATGAGAACCGAACCGGGCTGAAGTATGGTTTAATTATTTAAATTTATACTACTATAATTTATCTGAAATGTATTAATTACCTCATTCATCCCAAATTGATTTGTAAAGTCAACATTTTTTGATCAATGTTAATGTTAAGTCCTCCTTAATGATAATTAATACAATTTTAATAATTAAATTTACATATCTAGAAACCACATTAAAATCTCTTTAAAGTTGCAAAATCCTATTTAGAATATACGAAGTACTTTTTTTTTGGAAAAGCCAAATTAGAATATAATTAAAACGTAATATCTTAATTAAGTGAGTAAAAAAAATTGTTTGGCCAAAAAATGGTTGACTTTGCAAATCAATTTGGGACGAAGGTAGTATGAAATATGAAAATTGATAAATTGTGTTAATTTTTGGAGGATGACTAAACTTTAATTTTTCCTTAAACACTTGAAAATGGACCGTACCGAACGGGTTTAGGTTTAAGACCGAACTGAACCGTTTCAATAGTCATGGTACGAATACGGGTTCGGCAAATTATTGGACCGGATCGGACCGTGTTCACCCCTAATTTTATTATAAATGTTTGTAGTCTAATATGATCTGTTGAAGTCTGATCTAACCTATTCAGATTTGGTCCGAAACCGAAAACCGTCCAAACAAAAACATTCTTACGGGTTTTATCAAGTTTTTTTGTACAATTTTAATTACAAATAAATTCGAAATAAATAAGAGCAATGTTTGGTGTATCCCATTTTGGGTACCCATTTGTACACCACCATTGTGTGGTTCACAAAAGGCCAAACATTAAATTAATTGCCTTTTAATTACTAATACTCCTACAATTAAATTTAACTCCTCTATCTGATTAAATATTGTCAATTTTCATTCCCCAGTCATCCAGAAAAACATTTCCACTTCTATTTAAAATAAAAAAATTGTCATTTTTCCTTCACACATCTTTGACCAAATTTCATAAAAAGGGAGTACAAGCTTTCTTGCAAAACAATCACAGCACTTTAGTGTCCCACTTAATGAGAATTAAATCGTCATTTATTTGAAACTGAATGCCAGCTCTGGTAATATTGTACAGCTTAATAGCAATGATGGAAATTTGATCGGGAGAATTGTACATAGAATGCCAGATTGGACGGTAGTCATATAACAGAATCACACATAAGCTTGTGTCTAACATGCTACACTTGGGATCACCAAAGCTCTTCTCAGTTCTCACAGAACACAATACTTAGTAAAAATAGTACAAAACTTATTTTTCTTAAAGGCATCTTTTTACAAAATTTCACCCCTTTCACTAAACCTTCCAAACGAAATGGTGGGCAGAGTGCATAAAGTTTACATGCCAGCATTTGCTGCACTTTTCCTGAATCAATACAAAGCAGTTCCACGCATGGATCCATGAATTTAGGTGTGTTGGTCAACATAATCATGTGATAGGAAAACACAGCATTGGCATCTTTATCTAGTATTGAAGACAGTGTGGTTTGTGCTATCTGCGGCAAAAGCTCATTGAATGCTCATATCTTTTTTAATAGAGATAGTCCAAAGCAGATCAGATTCAGATTGGACAGTGACGACAGATTCTTTGACAATGTTTGACGTGCTGACTAAGCCCCCAAATCTCATTTCACTGTTAGCTGAAAGAGAAAATCAAGGTTTGTTAGTCACCTGAATGAGCAAATTGCAAAAAGGCCAGATAAAAAGAGCAGAGCAAAAGATGGAGAAAAATAATGATGCATAAGTATTCTTATGTAGACGTAATGAATGCAACACAACATAAACAGATAATTCAGACGTGTAATGAAAACTTACATTACAAATATACTATTTCATTGCATTACTTTATTACATCTTATTATATAGACTACACCTAACACATAACTACATATTTAAGTCATAAAGATAGATGGCAACCAACCACGAACGGACTACACCCTGGCATAATAATTTGAAAACTTCAGGAAAAAGCTTTTGTTCAACACATAAGTAACAAACAATGAACGGACTACACCCTCACATAATTTGGTAAAATATTCAATCAACACTAAGATTTGGAAGTGGAATTGCAATAGCATCAGGGTCAACTGCACAAGCAAACACACTTACACACCATGCTATGTCTTATTCTTTTCTACAAAGAATTGGGGATAAAGAATTACATGGCAAACTAATTTATTCTAATGAAACATGCATTATGTGTCATCATTATTTTCATTTACCCCAGTGCCGCAAAGGCTCCCACCTACGGTGGGGTAAGGGAAACATGCATTATGTGTGCCAATACAAAAACTTTTATATGTATATAGTGCAGAACAAGAGAAAATAACACTTCTTCAAACAGGACCATCATTATTTTTTCCTGAAAATAAGGTCCATTCACTTCTAACAAAGAATCATTAACTATATATATTCTTTTAAGTATTAAACGAGTTCTGTTTAGCACCAAATAAGGATACTCCTATTTGTGCACATACCCATGTTTTCCTAATAATTGTAGTAACTCTTTAGTTTAAAAATACAATAAAGATAATTTAAAAACTCACAAACATGTGTACGGACAGCCGTACACATTATTATGTTGTCAAAAACTGTAGGGGGTCGTCTCTTAAGCCCCCCAAGCTCTTGTATCAAGGGATTTGTATTAAAACTTTAAACAAGATGAAAACCCCAAGCTGTATCTTAATAATTATTACCCAGATTCCACTTAAGTCCTGTGGTTGTCGTGCTCGCAGAAGGCATTTTAATGGGAATGAGACCACAATGTGGGCCTTCAACGGAGGGATTGATATGAATCTCGTGATGGTGTGTATTTGGAAGAAGCTGGATGAGGCAATCATCAGACAAAAGAACAACTCGTGTAGTTGCAAACCGATAGAGAACATTGATGTTACCCATCTCATGGTCAAATCTCCCACCAAGTGCTCCAACAACGAGAATGCACAGCTAAATGAAATTCAGAAAAAGTAAATTAGTGCTACAGCAAACTTAATGTCATCTATAAATCACTCCTAAGACTTTATTTCATGATTTTTCTGCTGATATTACGTTTGAAAATTGAAATAAAGAAGTTATGTTAGAAAAAGAATGTGTATAGCTTTCCTTCTGAAGTCCAGTTTTGAGGGGGGGGGGGGGGGTTAAGAGGAATTGAAAACTTAGTCAATATCTTAATAAATAGAATATCATTAAAGAGAACAAACATAGATTAAAACGTTAAATGATCATATTCTATGTTATTATTTACTTTGTCTTAATAAAATCTAATATATATGTGTGTGTATCAATAAATATACTTAGCCCTCCAAACATCCAACCAAACTGACCCTAAATGAAGGTTGTTAAATACGCATTCCAAATAATTCATAAAAGGGGATTCAATCAAAACAAAGAGATAAAGAGATACTGCAGATGATTCCAAAGAGTAGAAAGAGTCGAAGTACTTACATTTGGGTTTTTCAGGTTGGGCAAGTCATGAATATAAGCAATACATTTATGCAAATCTGTGGTGTCTTGATCATGAGATTCATCATCAACTCTTGATCCCTGCATCATTTAAGAAATCTCCATCAATCAAGGTCAATTGGAAATGATCCAAAATACTACACTCCTTGGGAATTAATTTCCACATGCATGTGTAATCAAAGAATTCCTTCTCATGGCCCACATTTATTGAACAAAAGCTTCTTGCAAATCCAAGAAACACAAACACTCCTATTCCCGATATGCAACAAAAAAAGAGTAACCTCTAACTTACAAGGCCAGAATAGAAGTCTCGAACTTCATCTCGAATTGAGTCCATGTCCCCTTTTATGACATCTGGTTTGTACCTGCATCATACAAATGCAGTGTCTATTAGGAAACAAGAAATGTTTAATGAAGATATACTTCCTCCATCCCACTATCTTTGTCACATTTTTCCTTTTTTGCCAGTCCCACTATGTTTGTCTCATACCATATTTGATAGTATTTATGTGGTTCCAATTCATTCTTACGTTATTCATACGTTAACAATATAATATCAATCACATAACATCAATTTTCTTAATAACTACACTAGTCCCTCTTTGATAGGGACTCAACCAAAGCAGCAGAAATCAGTAGTATATTGATGAAGATCGCAGAGTTACAATGGCAGAAATCGTAAGAAAGAGAAGAAATAGATAGTTGGTTCGAGGTGTCCAGCTCTCCCAACCCAATTCTAACAGAATTCCAGCCTAACTCCCTTCCCCCCCCCCCCCCCTCCCACTCTTATAGTATTACTATTCTTAAGAGCCGGCCCAAACTCATTACTTAAATGGCTCGTAATCCTTATTTAAACACTAACACAATATTTAAAATAATTCTATTATTCTTATTAGTTTTATTCGGCCCAGTTCCCAATCACTCTTGTCCCAATCTTAGAGGAACAGAGGTAGTATTTATTACATCAAGTAGCACAAATTGGTGTGTAGGGATAGTTCAATAAAAACTTTTTGCTCAAGTGGTCACATCTCAGGACGGTGTATAAATCCAAGATCATGCTATGTTTAATTTGGTCTATATCTATCCCCTTGTCATGTTCTAAGTAGTTAACTCGCTACTCGGTAGCTACTCGGTCAAGGGCCGAGTAGCGAGTAGGATCGGTTACTCAGGATTACTCAGTGATTACTCGGTCATATATTAATTAAATATAATAATATAGGTGCCCGAGATTATAGAAATATAATAGTCTTTAAATAGTCTTTAAATTGTCTTTAAATGCATAGAAGTGAATAAAAAGATAGAAATCCTATTATCCTAATGATGGAGTAGCAAAAGTCATAAAGCAGTCAATCATCTAATAAGTTGGTCTGATATTAATCTTTGTTGGGTTCAAGGTCGTGATTTCCTTCTTCATCCTCCATGTCCCCATATAGATCTTCTCCAAATAGATCTTTAGTAATCAGATTCCCCACTTATTCTTCCTCTTCCACTTTTGGGTCATCTAAATCAATATCTAGCAGTCTATACACAGACTGAGCAGAGTTCATGACTAAAAATTAAAAGATTTTGTGAGTGTGTATTTATCATGAAGGAGAGGAGGGGAGATAATAAGAAATTAGACAAAGGAGAGGGGAATATACGAAAGAGGTGATATCAATTCTGACTAAAGTTCCAAACATACACACTGCCAAGGAAAAATTAATATAAAAATGAAAGCTTAATAATGAAAGGAACTTAATAACTAAGAAACTTAGCAGCTTGGAATTCTATAGTAAAAAACGGCGGCTACAGTAGTTTGGATAATCACAAGATTGATTTCATTTTTTAACAATGGGAAACTTAATAACTAAGAAATTTAATTTTTTTAACAATCGCCGTAGCACTGTAGCACTCACAGCTCCTTGCAGTATCACTGTAGCAGTCGCAGGCTCACAGCTCCTCATAGTAGCGGTTAGAGCTCCAAATGATGTAGCAGCAGTAGTCGAAGCTCCAAATGGATGACCAGTAGCGATTAATTTCATAGGTTTTGTTTGCACGTGTCTTTTTTTTAATACCGAGTAATAGCCGAGTACTCACCAATTTGACTAACTCACCGAGTTAACTAAATCGCCGAGTACTCGAAAAATTAAATCGGACCGAGTTAAGGTGCTACTCTGCAAGGTAAGAGACCGAGTAGCGAGTACTCAGTGAGTACTCGCTGAGTACTCACCGAGTAGATAACCCAACTCATGTTTAAAGTGAACACACCGAATCCTAGTTGGGGCACTTTCAAAACAAACTACTTTACTTTAAAAAGACATCAGGTTATATTAAGTGGTAGGTCATATAGAAATATCAAAGGTTCATTCGCTCGTTTTGCCTTTTATGATGACTTTTAGGCTTTCACTACTTCACATTTCTTTTCTAGTACAGTTGATAGGTTGTATATACAGAGAGCTAATAAAGATGTAAATATACAAAACAAATTAACAATAACCTAATAACCATGACCTGTTGACCTCATAAATTTCTATAGTAAATTTTACTCCGTATACAAAAAAAATGATAAATGTATTTACTCATTTATAGAATATTTTGAAATTGCAACAAACCTCTTACGAACATCAGAGACATCCTCATGAGGAAAGAAGTGAGGCAATTCATCAAAAACTCTATTCGCTCCACCGTCAGCGCAAACATGTAGCTGTGCTGCTCTAGAACAAAAGGTGAGAACACCATGCTCATAATATATAAGTTTCAATACATGAAAGGTGCGAATGTTCTAACAACAAAGTGAGGTACAAAAGAAATAGCCCTACTTCCAGAGTAGTGGAGTGAATTGTGGGAGGCGTTGGTTGAGGATGACGAGTGCATAAGTTAGAGCATGGCCATCAGCAGCAGGAGCGTTTGGGAGGAAAAAGAGTGAAGAATGAGTCATTAGCTCCATTTTTATCTTAAGAGGAAGAACACTTAGTCTTCAATCCTTTGCAACTTGCAGCAGTTTGACCAGGTACGTGATCAGGACTCTTTTACAACTTGGCACTATGACATAAAACATGCATACAGATATAAATTGTCCAAAACATAGACCAATGTACCTAACTTTAACACTTTAAATAAGGGAAAGTTCCCGAAATAGGACTAAAACGGTTTGAAAATTCCAAAATAGGACTGTCATGTTTTTTATTCCCCAAATAGAAGTAATTAAAGCCAAGTTTAGAAAATACTGCCATGTTTGAAGTCTGGTACCGCCAAAACATAGCAGTAATTAGTCCTATTTTGGGAATAAAAACATGACAGTCCTAAATTTTCAAACCTTTTTAGTCCTATTTCGGGTAATATTATCTTTAAATAATAAACCAGTTCCGTAATGGAGTTGTGGGCTTGGACTCATCATACATCCAAGCTCTCTAGACTCTAGTTATTGTATCATTACTAAAAATTAACCCTTTCTGTCGATTCTCAATCAATATAGACATCTATAACATATACTCTGTCTCTGTGATCTATTACAATGAAATAGGTTTAATAACATAAAAAACCAGTTTAAAAAATGACATGTAAATAACAGATTCTTAGTTGAAAATGTGAGGGGAAATGAAAAAACAAAGGAATGATATGCAAATAAATATGGAACAAGTAAAACAGTGATGACTATTTTCAATAGGCAGTGCAACTGTGCAATTCAAATTAGATTTGAAAATATAATGAATTACAGCTTTACAAGCATTTCACATTTTCTGTCTCTTTTTTACTCCAGGGGGCGTCTGGGGGGAGGGGGCTGGGGGAGCCTGGAGTAATCTAGGTTGAAACTCACTCCATTGAGTTCCAAACCCGAGACCTCCCGTAAGGGAGAGTGAGTCAACGACCAGCTGGGCTGGACCGTTTCCTCCACATTTTCTGTCTCTTCAACTCATCAGATACACAATCTTGTCATAATCTGCAAGCCATCAAATTTTCATCCTTACGGAAAAGAAATTATTATACCAAGACTCCCTATCACACTCACAACGTACTTCATAAAAGCAGGAAAGTATCAACTATCAAGCAAGCAATCCTTAATAGTTAATACCAAGAATTTACCTCCTAATTCAGCTTTAAGAGGAAATGATAAGCCAATTAATGAATCAGAGAATACCTAATGGGAAAATTACCAAATCTAATTCACAATCAGGCAATCAGCCCAGGCTCTCTCTCAAATCATAGTTTCATCACCATTTTATCATAATTCATAAAGACTTATTAACGGCACTGAGGAAATGATGATGATGTTGATGATAAAGACTTATTAGCAAGGGGAGACCCAAAGATGAATCATTCAAACACTATAAGTCTATATCCAAACCCATGTAGTGAGAAGAGCACCAGATTACACACCTGAGAAGTGATGCATACACACGGATACCCTTGGCTTAGTAGAGGCTGCTGAACCTACACCAAATTTGAAGAGGACACAGTCAAGCAGACGTGAGAGGCAAATAGCTTCGAGATTGGCTTAGTAGAGAGACAAGAGAGGTTTGCAATTTACAAATCTTAGAGCTGGGCATTTGATTAGTTCACTCCTTAGTTTGGGAATTTACTGCTGTTATTACGTTTTTGTAATATTTAAATTTCAACAAATTAAATTTTATATAGGGACTTGTTTATAATTAATTATTGTAAAGTTAATGTAAACATGATAACTATGTATGTACATAACGTTTTGGGAATTAGTGAGATTCTATCATATTCACCCTGTAAATTGTATAGGATTGAAGATAATTTGCAGGAAATCTAAAATCCAGCATATTTCACCTTAGAAAATGCCATGTTTATTAGAAATAGTTAAAAAGAACTTATATACTCCGTAATACGTAGTATAATGGTGTTGTTATGGATATATACTAATTTAATTATTTGGTAAAATGGAATGCGAATCTTGACTTTGGAGGTCAAAAAGGCGTTCACGTGTTTCACAAGTAACCGTTCATGTAGTTCGAGGAAGTATGAATCTTTCGAACACAACCATGAACCATATGCAAGAAGATATTCGCATGCTTAACAAGTAGCCAAAATCCGTTTTAGCAATCATATTTTGGGGATGTGAAAACACAAATCATATTAAAAATTTGCTAAACGTAAGAGAAAATATTGATGAAAAAACGAATGAAGTGACGAAGGGCTACCTGGCTGCTCGCGGAGAGAATGAAAGGCGTTGCTGGGAAATCCAAATATGAGAGAAGCCGAGAAGGAGGTGAGCGAGAGCGGTGGAGATGAGTTTTGAGGTGGCCTTACACAATTGAAGAACAAGTCATGCGTTGATAAAAATGAATGTTTGGGCCCCAACTCACCCGGTTAGGTGCTTCTTCAAGGATAGTATAGCCGTAGACGTGGGCATATGCGCTTGCTTTAATCAAACCTTACTAAATCGACCATATACAATTTGGTTCGAGGTTGACAGTATTCTTCAAAATCGAAACTGAATCGAATCCAAACCGATAAAAAATAAATAAATTCGGATCGAGCTAAAAAATTCAATAAAACATTCATATATATTAAAAATAACAAATATAAACCGAACCAAATCAAGCAGAAAAAACCTTGGGAGCAGGATGCTCACCTGCCGTCTGCACCGCTCCTTAGCTACCGGTCGAAACCACGTGGCAATTAAGCGTTGCGATTTGACAAGAAACTGGCATGTTGAATCAGAGCAGTTTCTCAATCTCCATCAGGCAAAACTCCGGCCAACAGTAGGTCGCGCAGCAGCGAAATATGCCTCTTTTTGTACATGTCAAAAAAGTGTACGCGTTATTTACACCTTTTGTTTTATTTATGCATACATGATTTTTTTCGTTTTCGAAGGTGAATTAGCTGCGCTGCACATATTTTTTGTCTTTCATACTAACAAACTTTTTATATGTGTCACAAGTAATTTTTTCAATCGCAAAATGAATGTGTAAATGACTGTGTCTTTGTTGGATCTATGTTAACTAGTCGGTGAGTACCAAGCAGCCCGCAATACGCGCCAGAGGTGCCTTCGGCCCCCCGGCCGAAGGCTCTAAATTCTCACAGAACGGGTTTCTCAAGCAAATTAAGAAACTGGGAGAAAACGGCGAAAACAGTAGCCCTCGGCACTGTGAGCCCTCGGCACCAGGGTGCCGTCGGGTGGAAGAGCCCTCGGCTACTGCTCTATAGCCGAAGGCATCTCACTCGACAAGATATCCGCCTCACATGCGTACAGATCATCGTACCCCGCACAGACGTCCCATCCAACAGCCGCATTAAATGCGGCCACATGCGGCTGCCAGCGCCAACCAGTTGAGGTGACCCCTCGGCCAATGAGCGCTTGACATGTGTCCCTGCCCGGCATTTATTGCTACTATAAATAGCACCCCATTTCCTCATTTGTAACCACGCTGAAAACGGCATTCATACTGAATACACTCTCTCTCTACTTTTATTTACTTGCTCTGACTTCTCTCTAAGTTACTTCCCGCAATAACCCTTCGGATATATACCCCCGGGTAGACTATCCATCATTTGGTGCTCTCGTTGAGAGGTTGAACAATCGAGTAAGAAACCCTCCCCCTCGACCAAACACAAAACATTAGCCCTCTATCAAAATGGTGAGGACAACACGTGCCAACTCAAAAAACGTAGAAGACAAGAACCTGGCCCTCGGCGACGTCAACGCCCCCGAAGCCTCTCACAGGGCTCCCGAGGGCGGTGTCATCGCTGGGCTGGAACAGGCGGCTGTCGACCTACGCCTTCAGATCCAACAAAATGCCCCCGATGCTCGCCTCGGTATCGAGGCCAAGAAGAAAAACCGGAGCGATGACCAAGTCAGTCCTCCGGTTCTCACCATCGACGTGCAATCGGCGCTCTCCGCCTTCATCCAGACGCTCACCCAGAACCCGGGTGCCTTCGGCACCCTGGCTCCAGCTCACCCTCAGATCGGGGAAAATATCATACTTTCCCCTCTGCCACACCCCTTCGGAAATCCCACCCCTCGGGTGAGAAACGACGAAGGGGTGGTGGCCCAAGCAACGTCCTCCCAGGAAGTTCAGTACCGCCATAATGACAACAGGGAAAGGCCCCGTACTTCCGCCCTCAACCGGCTCGGAGGAGGGCCAGACCGTCGAGGGGTCCAAGACCGCCTCGGGGGGAAAGCACTCCAAAGGCCCCAGGAAAGCGGGGGATCTGTTTCGAGGGCAGACGAGGAGTGTCCCCCTCGGGACAAAGGCAAGGCACCCCTTCATGCCGATGATGCCCGACACCAAATCAACCAGGCCCACTCGGCCCGGGTTCGTTCGCAGGGGGCGGAGACCCTCCCGAAGGATCCCCGGGACGAGATTATTGCGGCCCTCCAACGCCGGCTTGACGAGATGGAGTCCAACAAAGCTCACGCCACCACCTCCACCCCTCATTCAGATCTCAAATACGAGGCCATGATGGCCAAGATGGAGGAGTTACAAAAGAAGGTGGCCGAGGGCTCCGGGGAACCCGTTATCCAGCTCCGGACTCGGACGCCATTTACCCCAAGGGTATTGGCGGCCCAGATCCCGGAAAAATACCGAGGGCAACACATACAGCCCCTACAACGGGAAAACGGACCCCCAGGAACACTACAGCAAATACCAGAACAGCATGATGATGGTGGGGGCATCAGACGAATATTTGTGTCGATGGTTCCTCTCCACCTTAGAGGGACCAGCATACGAATGGTTCAACAGGCTGCCCGAGGGCTGCATTGATTCGTGGCAAGAACTCGCCCAACGATTCTTGACACAATTCGCCGGGAGGCGTCGCACAAGGAAGCACTTCTCCCACCTCCTAACAATACGCCAGAAAAAGGATGAGACCCTTCGGGATTTCCTGGAGCGCTGGAGGACGGAGGCCGACAAAGTCGACGGTGCTGATGACGGGACCCTCCTGGCCCTCCTACAGACCGTCCTCCGCACCGGCAACTTTTCAAGGAGCCTCATCATTGAACCCCCCCCGCGACTACATAAGGGCCTTGCAGCGGGGGGGACCGGTATGCTGAGGCCGAGGAGGTGGAGAAGTATCACCAGCATCCGGACCAGCAGCCCCCGAGGGCTGACAACAAGCATAACCGAGGGCCGGGGGCTCCTCCAAATCACCCCAAGGCTTCGGGACCCTCTGACGACCGCCCTCGGCAAGGCCAAGCCAAGCCCGGGGGAGGATATAAGAGCAACCCTAAGACTTGGGCCCAGCCCATTCTCCTGGACCGCCCTCGGACACCATTGACGCACCTCGTCAGCATCATCCTCGATTTTGCCGAGGAGAGGGGCCTCGTTGAGCGCGACTCTCGCGCACCCCCGGAGGTACACGCTATCAACCCTCAGTTCCCCTACTGTCGCTTCCATCGGCACCAGGGGCACAGGATCGATGACTGCCATCAGCTAAAGACGGCCATCGAGAGGTTAATACAAGCAGGGCACCTGTCCCAATTTGTTCAGAGCCCTCGGCAGGAGGGACCTTCTCATCAGGGGCCTCCCCGAGGGCACCACACGAAGGTGAACGCTTGGGTTAATCCGAACACCATCCCCCTCGGCAAGAAAAGGGAGATCGGAAACTTGGAAGAAGAGGAGGAGGAGTACCCCCACTACCAGGAGAAGAAACGCCACATCCTCATGATCACCGGTGGCAATACAGGGGGCGATTCCACCAGCCAACGAAAGAAGTGGGCTCAATCGCTTTACGTGGGGGAAGTCACTCATATGCCCCCGGTAAAGCGACTGAGGGAGGAACCCATCACCTTTACTAACGCAGATCTCCCTCCTACTTCTTCTCCTCACAGGGATGCCTTGGTGATTCGGACGGAGATAAACGACACCATTATTCACCGAACTTACATTGACACAGGCAGCTCCGTCAATGTAATGTACCTCAGCACCTTCGGAGAGCTGCATCTGGAGAGGGGGTCCCTTCGGCCCATTAAGACCCCTCTTGCCGGCTTCACCGGCGATACTATTGATTCTGAGGGGGTAATAACCCTCCCGGTGATCTTCGGCGACGGGCTCCATAGAGCCCAGCTCGAGGTGGAGTTCGTCGTCGTCAACATCGACTGCGCCCACAACATCATCCTCGGCCGGCCAGCCCTCGAGGACCTCGAAGCCATCATCTCCATGAGGCACCTCTGCCTCAAGTTTCCCGCCGAAGGGGGCATTGGCTACTCCCGGGGGAACCAAAAAATTGCCTGCGCCTGCTATCTTCAGGTCACTAAGAAGGTAAGCAAGACGGAATTCCGTGTTGACACCATCACCGGAGCCGTCGACCAAGAGGAAAGAAGGCCGAGGGCTGAACCGGCCGAGGACGTAGAAGACTTTGCGCTCGATCCGGCCCAGCCGGAGAGAGTCGTGAAGATTGGAGCCCAGCTCCCTGAAGATTTGAAGACCGGTATCACCGACGCCCTCCGCGCCTACTCCAATGTCTTTGCATGGGGGCCGGAGGACATGCCGGGAATCAGCCGAAGGGTCATCACCCACCGCCTCTCGGTGGACCCCTCGGCAAAAGCAGTACAACAACGAAGAAGACCCCTCTCCGCCGAAAGGAGGGAATTTGTGAAGAAGGAGGACGGCATGCTCCTCTCCATTAAGCACATCAAGGAGGTGAAATATCCCTCATGGCTGGCGAATGTAGTCCTCGCACAGAAGCCCCCTACCTTCCGCATGTGCGTGGACTACACCGATCTCAACAAAGCATGCCCTATGGATCCATTCCCTCTACCAAACATTGATCAATTGGTGGATGAGACCGCAGGGTGTGAGATCATGTCCTTCCTCGATGCCTTCCGAGGGTACCATCAAATTTTCATGCACGAGGAGGACGCCGAAAAAACTGCCTTCATGACTCCCGAGGGCATCTTCTGCTACCTAGTGATGGCCTTCGGCCTAAAGAACTCGGGGGCCACTTACACCCGGATGGTGGCCCGGGTCTTTCAAGCCGTCCTGGGGTGCACCATGGAGGCCTATGTTGACGACATGATCGTCAAGAGCAAACAATCTTCCAGCCATGCTGACGACCTCCGGGAAATCTTCGCCATCATGCAAAAATTCAACCTTCGGCTAAACCCGAAGAAGTGCACCTTCGGCGTCCAGGGGGGCAAATTCTTGGGCTACATGGTGAGCCGAAGGGGTATTGAGGCCAATCCCGAGAAGATCCAGGCCATCATCAACATGGAGCCCCCACGCAACGTGAAGGAAGTTCAACGGTTGACGGGCCGCCTGGCAGCCCTCAACCGCTTTCTATCTAAATCGGCGGAGAAATCTCTACCCTTCTTCCAGATCATGAGGAAGACGGCTGGCTTTCTATGGACTCCGGAATGCCAGGAGGCTTTCGACGAGCTCAAACGATATCTATCTTCACCTCCTGTGCTCTCCAAACCCAAGGTAGGGGAGACTCTCT